GGAAATGCCAAAAGCCACAAGGCGCTATTTTAGCCGGTTTTTTGTTTTGTTATTATTATTTAAAAGTTCCAACCGCAAGCCAGCCGAACGAAGAAGATGGAGCCATCTGACATTTGTTCGGGTAGAAAAAAGAGCACAAAAGTCTAGGAAGGTAATTTAATAAACTACGTGAGTAAATCGCAGAGTGAATCCTCATAAAAATTGTTTATGTCTTATGACCTAGTCATGTTCGCTAAGACAATATGTACATATGTAAACATATTTTTTTTGATTAGAAGAACTTTTATCTGGTGTACTGAAATGTCGCATAAGCATTCACAAAACTTTAAAGAATTGCTTTTATAAAATTTCAAATACATGTATTTTATTTGATATTAAGTTCAACGGAAGTTCTAATCTCAAATAAATTTATATTTAACAAAATATTCAAATTTCAATGATAAATATGTCGCATTAACATTTTCAAGTCAACTCTAAGGAATTGATTTACAAAGTTACAAGTACATATTTATTATGTTATCAACATTCAAAGGAAGCATCTTATTTCACATGAATATTTAATGATTTTAATTAAACATTTTCCAAAAAATGAAATTTTCATCTAATAATTTGGAATATATATATTCCTTTTTATTTGGTAGCTTGTCATGACCAATTTAGGTATTTCCTATACTTACACATAATAAAAAAGATTGTATAATTCTTTCTGTCCATATCCAATCTTATTACCCATATATATGTGCAAACAACATTAGCTAATCGCAGACCAAAAGTCTCTTGTCTGTCTGCCATTTGTGGCTTATGAAGCCAGTATTTCCCAGACTGCCTGGAGTTGTGTTTTTCTCTGTCTGCTTCTGTCTTTTTGCTGCTGGTGCATTACATTACAATTGCAGAACACGTTCGCATTGCCATAATGCAGGCTGTTTTCTTTTTGACAACTTGCCAATGCCCCAGGCTCTGACCCAGATCCATAGGAACAGATTTTAGGGGAGGAATAACACAAAAGCTAATAAGAGGCCGAAAAACCCGGTCTCAATAGAAGTAATTGTCCAATTGGCTGGCCAATGCTAATGATAAACAAAATCAGTATCCATTCAATGCCTTCTAATTGGCATTCTCATTCTTAACTAATTGTCAGGTGACTCAGCCTCACCTCGGGTGAGTAAAGAGTTGAATCAGTAAGCAGAAGTGACAGGTGCTTGGCGAATTTCAGTTAATCAGCATGAAAAAGAGATAATTCGGATGAGCCTTAGATAACTTATCAGCCCACACGACCCTACGTGCCAAGTACTTGAATTTAAATAACAATTCTAGAGATTTAATCTATCAAAAAAGCCATTGCGCAACACTGCTGCGGTTGATTTGATTGAGTGAAACCCGAGCCGGGCTATCACTAAAACGATCCACCACAAGACTAGGAAACTGGGCAAGCGAAACCTCGGAAAACATTTCGTTTGCAAGGTGTCAGTCGACGGCTGACGTTGTCGGATGGTAATGCAAAACCGCACACAAGTACGGCATAAATACACCATAACCTCTACCGCTTATTCTATATTAAATATTATTGAAGAAAATTGCATATCAATCCAATTTTATACGGTTTCTGTCCAATGAACTCGAAATAACGCTGTGGTTAGGATTGAATTTAGTGTTCGAACAAAAGAAATTTCCCTCTTTAGTTCAAAGACTTTGTAATGTATTATTACAATTATTTTGTATAACGCTTTATGGATAGAATATTAAAAAAAAGGTTAAGAAACTTAAATTGGTTAGTTAAAGTTACATCCATTAGTAAAATTGAATTTGCGTGCAGGGAATTCCACTTAGGGGAGCTCGCCTGTAGTGTAATAATTGAATCCGTCTCAAAGTGTTGGGGCAGAAAACCACTTTTGACTCATGATCCGCGCGGCGGGAGCACGACTTGGGAATAAGCCAGTGAGTGTGACAATATTTCTGCCCAAGTACTTGTGAGTCATGCCCCATTGCACATGGGACCAGCGTGGAGGGGGAGAGGGGGAGGCACCAAGGAGGGGCTGCAGTAAATGCAATTTAAATGCCCATTAGGCGCATGAGTTTTATGTTGCCAACTAATGAAATGCGATTACGGTGAGATGCCTGGGAAAGTGGCAGTCGCAGGTGAAAGGAGTGCGAAGGTTGCTACTGTGGACCTTCTACACAACCAACACTTTTACAACAGTTTTCAAATTTACAAGTTCTGCAGTAAGTACTATTATTTAATATATAAATCTAAAAAAATACCCAGCACTTTTAATATAATTACAAAAAAACAAAAACTTTTAGAAAGTTCTTCAATTCTATTTCCTAAATTGCATTAGAAAAGTAATTAGTATTTGGTTGAGCTTATATTTTAAAATTCAGAATTAATGATAAAAAGAATGTTGTCCAACAAAAAATAAAAGAATTATTTTTTTTAATAGATTTTTAAGTAATAAATTGAATAAAATATTTTGTAACTAAATAAAAAATGTTATTTATAAAAACAAATATTATATTCACTTTTATTAAGGCTAATATAGTAATAATACATATTCCCTTTATTATTTTATAAAAATAATATATATTCCCTTTATTATTTTAGCAAATTTTAAGTTCATATTAAATTGAAATATGAAAAAGTTGTTAAAGGGGACCTAAGTTTACATACAAATTAAATTTGCAAATCGAAGGACAGTGACTTACGTGTTGAAGGTCTTTTGGTAGTCCTTGATCTGCTTCCTGGAGAACTCGTGGAACTCGGTGTAGACGTTGACCACCTTGAAGGTGCGTGGAATCTCAATGCCAGCCTCCTGGGAGTCCATGATCTCCTGCCGCCGGTTGAGGATGTGCGTCAGCTCGGAACTGTCCGTGTTGGTGGTGCTACTGGGGCTGTCCACGCTGTCCTTGTTGGAGGCAGAAGAGGCGTTCGAGGAAACTGACATTTTGTCGGCCTTTATTGACTTGCTTTGATGCGCTGGAATTTCACTTGTTTTCCTTCTCTTTCTACTTTTTGGCACTCCCACGCAAAAAGGACAGCAAAAGAGACGTCGGGATACACACACGAATGCAGCGAAACGACGGATGCGCCAGAAAAACACACACACACACTATAAGGTTTGAGGGGGGCGTGGCCTTAAGTCCTTTTCAGCTTTGAAAAAAAGAGTGGCAAAGTGCGCTTTAAAAGCCGGGTTTATACTGCAGATTGCTTTATCTTATTGGACACTGGTTTTCCGCTTAAATTGCGCGCAGACTTCCGAACCCTCCGAATGTTGAAAAACGAATAGTGAGGCCGTAACCGGAACGTTCGAATATACATGCAAGCGCGGTATGCGCGTCGAATTAGAGTCGGTGACTTACCGGCGATTTAGGAACGGTGGAATTTGAGTCATTAGGGCGGTTTTTATTTTTTGATTGTCGCACTATGTATTTAAAAAATCGAGTAATTGCTCTGCCCCTTCTAATGAGGCATCGTGGGTGTTGACACTATCCCTGTGAGAGTTGTATTAATTATTAAAAAAGGTAGCGTCGAAAATGCCCTTGTTTCCATTGGGTTGGTGTCATGGATAGGCATTGTGTATCATGTCTTGGTAACGAGGTGGTTCTGGTTCCGGAGTGAACTGTTACTCGATTTTCTCGAAAACTGTCTGCTTAATTTTTATGAATCTTTCTGACAAGAATCTTTAATTAACGCTTAATAGCCTGGTTTAATTAGTAAAATATTAAAAAAGATATAAAAGTGCCGCCCACTCCATTACTTGAACCAATTCGTCAGCCATGGCATGAACCAACTTATACCAATCGACGTTAACTTTTAAAATTCCTACGCTCCTCACAGCTCTGCCAAGACAAGAAATATTTTAAAAAATAGCTAAGCAATCGAACTAACTTTGAGGAAAGTTTTAATCAATTCCTATCCTCAGTCACTTAGAATTAAAATTCGTTGCACACGTCAGCATTTCCAAGACACTTACCATAGAGAATTATCGATAGTTATTCGATATTTAAACAATTGGCGCCTAACAGCTTGAAAATAGTTTCTAAACAAGAGAGAACGCTATAGTCGGGTGCCCCGAATATCAGATACCCGTTACTCAGGTAAAGGGAGTGCGAGGGAGATGGAGATAGAAACTTTGATCACGCATAACTTTTTAACGAATGGTCCGATTTGAAAAATTTCTTCTACATTTCGATAGGTATTAATAAACACAATAAAACTGCATTTTTACTTTTCCGAAATATTTAAATTTTTAAAATCGTATATAAGCGATTGTGGGCGTTAAAGGGGGCGTGGCACCTTTTTGAAACAAACTTGCGCTGCGTAGGAACTCCTAGAATCTGCATGCAAAATGCCAATCTTCTAGCTTTTATAATTTCCGAGATCTCAGCGTTCATACGGACAGACAGACAGACAGACGGACAGACAGACGGACAGACGGACAGACGGACAGACGGACATGGCTATATCGACTCGGCTAGTGACCCTGATCAAGAATATATATACTTTATAGGGTCGGAAACGCTTCCTTCTAGCTGTTACATACTTTTGCACGAATACAATATACCCTTTTACTCTACGAGTAACGGGTATAAATATAACCTTCCTAATATTTATCCCAGTACCACCCTTCCCTTGCTGATTATTTTAGTGTACGTATTATCAAATATCGAACCAATTTTCATAAACATTCTATAATATTTATATATACCACAGGATGGCAGGCGATTTGGAAAAAACACCATCAAGTTTGTGAAACATTTTAACGACAAGGACAGTGGCCTGATCCAGCCGGAAGCTATCCTAACTCCTGTTCAAGACCTCTTTAAGATGCCGGTGGTGTCCTCCAGTGACGAGGACAGCACCTTGCTGGTAATTGATGGCGACTATACCATGTCGCAACCGGTCTTATCATATCATATGCATATTAACAATTAACCCTGCTTTCCCTTTAACTAGCAGCAACTTGATAAATAAATATTAAATAGGCGGTAACCGAAGAATTGGATCAAGTGGTTTGATGAATTTCTGTAATATCATTTATTCTTTTGCTGATTTAGAAAGGGTTTATTTATAATTTGTATGTTCTTTTGTCCTGGCTTCATCTTGTAAAAAGTCTCTGCTTCAGTATAATGAAAATTTTTAACTCAAATGTTTTTAGGCCGTATCATCATTTCGATATAGGTAAGAGAGATTGTGTAGTCGTATTCTTTCCAAGTACCCCAAAAAATTCCGTATTTTCCTTGGGCTTCTTTCTTACCGTTTTTATAATATTTCCCATTGAGTGAACTGCAAAATTAAATGTTTATATTAAACAAATTCTACAAATAATTTTTAATTTATGTATATACCTGTGAGCACATGACTTATACCACCAACCACCATTATTCAACCTAGCGCAGTTTTCACGGTGAGAGTCATTATCCCGATCATGTGTGCTGAACTTTGATTTCTCATGGTATTTTAGGGAGTCTCCAGCTGTACCAGAATAATTCCCTATCGTTGTCAGTTCATATCCCTCCATCTCACTCCCAACTTTGAAATTATCGTACTTTGCGTAGCGGCTGGTTCCATTTATATCCCGAAGGTGGATGTAAAGTTCATATGGTTGTGCCTCCGTCATTTGATGCAACTTTTCGAGCCCGATAAAGAACTCTCGTTTAACGTCTCCAAATCCGTTTTTGTAATCAACCCAGTTTCGATTGAAATCCTTTGATCCGTCCATACGCCTCTGAATTATCATCCAACCACTAGAACTGCAGGGAACTTCAAAGGCATTTATTCCGCCCATTTTTATGTTGTAAATGCCAGTTGGACCTTCTCTTGGACAATCCATTCGGCTGCCTTTTAAAAGCAGTTCAGTTTTCTCAGTTAGCTTTTCCGAAAGGGACTTTACTTGGTTCGTTAGCTCATCGATTTGTTTCATATTGTCGGCACTTTGGTCATTGATTTGAGTAATTTTAATGTTTATATTTTCATCTTTTTCCTTTATTTGTTGTTCCTTTAGTTGTATACGTTTTTCTTTGTTTTTAATCTGTTCACTTTTGTCTTTTAGTTGATCTTCGTTTATGTGAATTAGATTATTTTTATTTTCGATTTGTATTTTAGCGATTGCAAGCTCTCTCTGCAAGTTCGAAATTGTTTCTTCTTTATTCCTGAGCAGATCTAATTGGTTTTTAATCTTATCATCTTTGTCTTTAAGTAGTTTACTTGTCTCCTCAATTCGTTCATCTTTAAAATTAATAATCCTGTCTAGACCTTCGGCATTTGATAACTGGATGTGCAAGTCCTTGTTAGAGAGTACCAACGTATTTATTTTTTCTTTTAGTTCATCGCTGGTATTGGCTGCTTGTTTTAACTCAACTAAATGGTCGAGAAAAGGCTTGAAAGTTAAATAACAATATGAATTGCACTGATCTTCGCTGTCTTGATTTTCAGTTTCTTGTTGAAAATCCCTAGCAACTGAAAAAGTTGACTCCTCCAAAAGGCAATATGACAAAAACAGAATTAAAACACTCGACTTCATTCTGCACAAGTTAAATGTTTCACAATCTACTCAAGACTAAACTGAAAATTAGAAATGTTTGCAATTTATAAATGATTGCGCAAGTGGCTTATCGTTTGGGGAAATACTGTGTATTTGTTTATAGTGAGCCAAAATCTCCAAAGTAGGCACTGTCATTTCCGGAGGTCAGAATGGTCACTGGAACGTGGTTTGCCCAAAATTGAAATAATTTAAATTTGCCTTATGACAACATGCAATTGGTCGTCAAGGTATTTGTAGCTTATCTCTTGTTTTGGTTGTACAGAAGTCAGAGGTAATTCCGGGAAAGTCATATAGTGATAATTTAAAATAAAATATTTATATGCTTATATTATAGCAATTTAATGGATTCAACGGTCATTGCTTATAAAAATGCAATCGTAAAAAGCGTTAGAGCAATCTTTTGAAAGCTTTTTTTTTGAGTTTTTATTAAAATAATAATAGATTTTTATGAACCTTATTTAAACATTAACTCCTTTTCAAACAATTCTTTGCTCGCTAAATTACTTGTGTGTCAAAAATTACTTACAAATCTAATTTTATGACGCCTACGTAGACGACGGGCAGTATGCCACGCAGAAATTTCGGCAAGACAATCCCTGGCTGCTGATCGCGAAGTTATAAATCTGAACCGAGGCACTTGGCCCCCTTTAAAAGGCGCTCGACGGTGTGGAATAGGTGAACTGGAGGGATGCCGCGTAGTGAAGCAATTCTGAAAAAGGTTCCCGGGACGCACGGATTCTACGCTCCCGGAACGGACTCACCGAGTTTGAACCTTCTTGGTGTCGGTTGCTGGTACCCGTGGCTGACAGGTTACAATGAGGCTTGGACTCCAGCTTTTCTCCAACGCCGTGTATAAAAACGAAGCCGGTGCCCTACGTAATAGGGTCCCCGGTGGACCTAAAAATAATTTGGGCATTCAGCCCCGATCTCCGCTTGAATTTATTCGAGCACTTTTAGTTTTATTCCAAGTTATAAGAACCGCGAAAATATAAAAATATGGTAATCCCTACTCGGTACGACAATTTCTACTCGGCTTCCACGTTTTTTGCAGCTTCGACGGATGTAAGTTGGGAAGGCTGATGGCTAGGCTCTGGGCAAAAAGAGGACGGAAACGATCTTAAACAATACAATTAAATATAATACATGTGTTTTAGGTATTTGGGGCTACTTACCACTTCGGTGTAAACGACCTGCTTCACGGATCCGTCATCTATGTTTTTCTATGAATTTAAACTAATTCTTTGTTCGTTCAGTTATATGGCGGCTATAGGATATAGTCGGCCGATCCTTATGATTGGTCGGATTGATTGGCCTTTTATTTACTAAAAACAATACAATTTATATTTAAAAATTTATATTAAACATTTTTTTTATTTGTTATTTTTTTATTATGACTAAATTTTTAATTGTGGAATTTAATGTGAAATTAAATTGAGACGCATCTGAAAAGTGGACATTGTGTGTCCCATACATATTGTGACGACCCAGCGTCACAAATAATCGCGCACTTTCAAAACGCACGCGCAAAACGATAAACTGGCCACACTAACTCCACCGATACTTCGATAATCGACTACCATCGATATATTTGTGAACTGATAACGAGTTATCGATATCGGGATTCTCGACATCGATCGCTCTGGGCACACTCAACGAGGCCTATATAAGCAGAGGCAAGACCCCAGATGAGGGATTTGCGTTCCGTCGATCATCGAGGAAACATCAGCAACAAGGAGAAATATCTGGGGAGAAATATATGGGTGGTGGATCCGTAAGAACTCGGGTTTTAAATCGGTTCTGCGACCTGGTGAGGATCACTGGCGTCCCGGTTTGGTTTCCTAAAAATCAGTCCAGACCCAGTCGTGATCACTGAGGCGGCCCGGTTTACGTAATACTGGCCCACCTCAGTGAGTTCCCCCAGACGTCACGTTTCCGGCTCCCGACCCGGAAACGAAACGGATGTAGAACGGCAGTTCGAACCTAACGATGCCCGGCAGACCGAAACTAACGATGCCCTACATTCCCGAATCTCAATAGAAATCCAAGTAGATCTCTCCCAACGACCCAGAACACTCTGGGCCATAATTGGAGAAAGGGAGGTAAATCGATCTATAGAGAAAAAATATAAATATCTGTCACAAACCCTAGCCACGGCGAGCTATACCGTCTCCCAAAACAGGATCGTTACAATATATAGCCATTTTGCTCAATCTGCCGCATTCCCCATAAGCTAATAAAAGCACAGTGAGAGCGACAAGTGCAGCCGCAAATATTCGGTGTTATTGTTGTTTTATTATATAAAATTAATTTATTATATATTATAATGCTACCCGGTGCTTTCGCCCGTAACTTTCACCATGAGGTTGCTCCCAAGTCCGCAGGATCGCCGGTGGCCAGCCATCTGCGAAGGCAACACCGTTAGGCGGCCGCATCCGCACTCGTGGTTGTACTTCTCAAAGAAACACCCCAGTCGGTGCTCATAAAGAGCCACAGACGAGCTGCACTTTTCGAGGCTGCATTGGAAAGAGCTCATCTTAGTCCGCTTGGTCGGCGTCTCCTCCTCGAATAGATTCACCCTAGCTGGATGTTTGCCTTCTGCTTCGTGCCGTCTGACACGACACTATAGGCTTCATCGGTGGTCAGGAAGTTCAGGTCTTCTTCCGGGTCGCCAGCTCGGTCCCCTCCCAGGATGGAGTCCACAAGTGCCTCCGGCTCGCTCCCTTTAAACCTGCAGATCTTCGTTGCAACCAGATCATAAGCCTGTTGCTACAGCGAAAATACGGCGGCGACTTCCTTGCTGGAAGAGTTCCTCTCCACTTTCACTTCCTTTTCAAATTGGTTGTACAATTTTTTTAGAGCTGCCTGGCCAGCCCTGGCAGCCACTTTCTCCAATCTTGGCTTATTTCTCAAATGCGAAAATGGGATTCAACTAGTTCTTTAAATATTTGGAGGAGGCGATAGCAACGTTGATGCAGGGTGGACATTTTGCTGGCCAGTGGCAGTCAAAAAGCTTGCAGCCACTGAAATGCATTCAATGCGTCGCTTACAGTGGTCCTTATTGCAATATATTTGGCCTACCAAATTGTCCTTTAAAGTGTTAACACTTCAAATTGCAAATTGCAAAAATCAATGTTAATATGCCAATTAGGCCCATAGTGCAGGAAAAATGTTAGCTGCAATGTGCGATGTATTGTATTCTCGAGCCAGAGCGAGATGACAATAGCATCTAATCTTCATAACTGTAAAGCATGGTTCAGGTCTGCCACCACCGTATAGCCACTGTGGACTTGAAGCAAGGCGTTGATGGGGCAATCGTCCACTATAATAGCAATTAAATGCTTTTCCAACTCCACTGATGCGATGGCCTCCCGCACCTGCTCAAACACCGCCATGATCTGCATGGCCGTAAATGTATTTTTCTATTATATAGAGCATACATAAATATATTTAAATACATATGCATGAGTTTTAGGTATTTGAGGCTACTTACCACTTCGGTGTAAACGACCTGCTTAAAATATTTATAAGACTAGGAACCCACCTCAGTCAGGTGTATGACGTCTACCATCAAGTAGAAACACCTGCCGTGATCCTTTAACCGTTTTAGGCCGTCCAGGTTTCTTAAGATCCCGGCCAGCGCGGATCATCCACCTGTGGGAGGTGCTTGTCCACCTGCGCGCGCAGGTGCGGCATGGCAAAGAATTTAAGCCTGAAAAGGTCCATAATATAAAAAACACAAGTATGATAACTTAAGAACGTTGAACAACGGCGCCAAAACTGTATGACCACCTGGGAGAAAAAGCAAAAAGTCCCGTAACGCCATGCGAAAGTGGCCAGAAAGCGCCTATATTTGCGTTAAACCCAAAGGTGGTCACACTGCCTGGACCTGAAATCTGTGTGTCGCGAAATTCTCCGTTCCGCCGCATTTTCCGCGAAAAAAAGTGATGTCGAGGGGAGCCGGGGGTGGGGGGCAGGTCGCCGTGATCAGTTTTCCGTGGAAAGTGATCGAATACACCTGTTTTCCCGTCGCGTGTGTTAACCATGTGCAAAATACAGTGCTGCCAGACCGTCAAACTGAACTTTACCGGTTTTGCCCCAATTTCTCGATTTTCCTAACTCGGCCCCCAGCGTGAGAACCCCCGAAAGTTGCGCCCTGCTCCCCCACATCCGCCACGACCCTGGGACACCCTCAGCGCAGGAAACGCTCCCAAGTCTCACGACCGAAATCATACCCTCAAGACGTCCAGCGTTGCCTTACTCAAGACCCTCCCCGTACCCAATTAATAGTTGGCTCCACCTAGAGCAAATTTATAAACAGTTCGCTCCACCTAGAGGTAGATTGACATTTCGTTGTCTCCGTCTAGGTGGAGCCACATAAATTGTCATTTTACTACTAGGTGGTGCCACCTGACCTTCGATTTACCGCCAGGGGGAGAAATCGCAAATAGAGGGCGGAATTGAAACTGAAATGGCACTACTGATTATTTGTATTTATAGCTATGCTCTTGTTTTCTTGTACAGAAGTCAGAGGTAATTCTGGGAAAATCATATACTGATAATTTAAACGCTTATATTATAACAATTAATGGGTTCGATGGTCATTGCTTATAAAAGTGCAATCGTAAAAAGCTGTTGAATAATCTTTTGAAAGCTATTTTTTTGGGCTTAGTCATACGACTAGGTCTATAATTTCAGTTAGGGATGTAACAAGATAATGCCAAACGTACTCGACTTTTTCTAACTAGTACATACCATTTTGCCTGCCTTTCGGTATTGAACAAATTGTTTTTATTGTGATCTTGTTGCTTAACTTATTGCTAATAAATAGCTTTGAGCTATTTGATTCCTGCTGACAAATGGGTTTCATCTTAAAATATCTCTTCATTCCTTCGACCCATATTTTTTTTTTAATAAAATAAACTATCGAAATTAAAGAATACTAAAGGTCTTGTAAATAAACATTGGTCGTTTTCAGTCCTTAATGCAAGTTTGCATTAAGACAAAATATTAGTAGCAATGACCTTTTAAATAAATTCAGTTATCAGTAACTGAACCCAGAATCACCTTTGACTTCCCTATAATCAAAAGATGATATAGAAGCTGCATGAGCAAGCTATAATTACAAAGGCGATAATGGGGTACTTTTGAAATGCAATCGAACCTTGTAAGCCAATAAAGAAAAGAGGACAGGACCCATAGTAATGCCGAATTCACAGCTTGGGCTCGTGAAATGCTCGCAGTGTACGGTAATCCCTCAGCCGACCAAAATGACCCTTTATTCGATTAATTTGTTTTTTTTTTAAGTTGTAAAAACTCTAACTAAACGGAAAAACTTTAAATAAAAACTTAAATTTGTTTGTTATACACATATATGTACGTCTTAAAGACTTAAATTCCGAGAAAATAAGCATTGATAATGGTTGACTTGACTATAAAATAAAGGCAGTTTATAGTATGTAAAATTATCAGTAACTGATTTCCCAGAATCACCTTTGACTTCCCTATAAGCAAAAGAAATGATAGAAGCTGCTTGAGCAAGCTATAAATACAAAGGCGATGTTGGGGTACTTTTCAGTTGCAATCGAACCTCGTAAGGCAATAAAGAAAAGATATGAGTTCCATAATTCAAGTGGGGTAAGCTTTCCCAAAAGAAAATATACCAGCCCTGACATTTACGAATTATGTATATATATTTTCAGATGCTTTCTGATTGTTCTTGGATGCATTTTGGGGACAGGACTCGCCCAGAGTGATGCCGAATTCACAGCTAAGGCCCGTGAAATGCTCGCAGTGTACGGTAATCCCGCAGTCGACCAAAATACTCAGTACCGAAATCTTCCCCAATTGGTTGAATTCTATGAGAAGTACTACGACCGCATTCATCTTACTGATCAGGAACGGCAGCGTGCCAACGAGCTGCTGACGCGGTATAGGACGGAAAAAGCCAATCAAGTCTATGTGGATGGTGTGCCGGCACAGGGAGGATTCCGCAGAACCGTGTTAACGGAAATAGCTGTGGGCCTGGCTGTATCGGCCGCCGGAGAAGTCTTAAAGAGAGCGTCGTCTTCCGGAAGCACCATCCAAATAAGTCGAGAAATGGGAATCCTTGGGATTATTTTCTTAATCGCCATTTACAAACTTAGGTCAAAGTTCTAATAGACGTTACAGTTTATAATGTTTTATTTTCTAATTTTTGCAAATTGAAGGTAATGGACCATTTCATAATAAACTGACAAAAAGATTTAGCACATTTCTTTTCGTAAACTCTGTTGAAAGCAATTTTTTGGGGTTTTTGGTCGCAGGATCTAGAGTCTAGACAAAAGATAATGCAAAGCACACTCGACAATAAAGTGCAAAATGTGTTGGGCAAATCCGCATTTCCCCCAAAGGTAAGTGCCTCAATGGGTATGTACATTTATTATAACAATAATAGATTCTTATGAACCTTATTTAAACATTATCTCCTTTTCAAACAATTCTTTGCAGGCCAGGAAAAACTGCTACACGGGCCTGGACTGCAGCAGCTAGAAGGCAGTTTTAAAGTCGGGAAATTTGGCCTCGGAGAAATGCTAAAAATGTATAAAAAATATGATAATCCCGTCTACTCGGCTTCCACGTTTTTTGCAGCTTTGCAGATGGCTAAGCTCTGGGCGAAAAGAGGACGGAAACGATCCTGGTTCTTAAACAATTCAGCGCACTGCAGCAATACAATTTATATTTAACAATTTATATTAAAAATTTTTTTTATTTAGTATTTTTTTATTATGACTAAATTTTTAATTGTGGAATTTAATGTGAAATTAAATTGAGACGCATCTGAAAAATGGACATTGTGTGTCCCATACATATATAACCATTTCGCTCAATCTGCCGCATTCCCCATAAGCTAATAAAGCACAGTGAGAGCGACAAGTGCAGCCGCAAATATTCGGTGTTATTGTTGTTTTATTATATAAAATAAATTTATTATATATTATAATGCTACCCGGTGCTTTCGCCCGTAACTTTCACCATGAGGTTGCTCCCAAGTCCGCAGGATCGCCGGTGGCCAGCCATCTGCGAAGGCAACACCGTTAGGCGGCCGCATCCGCACTCGTGGTTGTACTTCTCAAAGAAACACCCCAGTCGGTGCTCATAAAGAGCCACAGACGAGCTGCACTTTTCGAGGCAAAGGCTGCATTAGAAAGAGCTCATCTTAGTCCGCTTGGTCGGCGTCTCCTCCTCGAATAGATTCACCCTAGCTGGATGTTTGCCTTCTGCTTCGTGCCGTCTGACACGACACTATAGGCTTCATCGGTGGGCAGGAAGTTCAGGTCTTCTTCCGGGTCGCCAGCTCGGTCCCCTCCCAGGATGGAGTCCACAAGTGCCTCCGGCTCGCTCCCTTTAAACCTGCAGATCTTCGTTGCAACCAGGTCATAAGCCTGTTGCTACAGCGAAAATACGGCGGCGACTTCCTTGCTGGAAGAGTTCCTCTCCACTTTCACTTCCTTTTCAAATTGGTTGTACAATTTTTTTTAGAGCTGCCTGGCCAGCCCTGGCAGCCACTTTCTCCAATCTTGGCTTATTTCTCAAATGCGAAAATGGGATTCAACTAGTTCTTTAAATATTTGGAGGAGGCGATAGCAACGTTGCTGCAGGGTGGACATTTTGCTGGCCAGTGGCAGTCAAAAAGCTTGCAGCCACTGAAATGCATTCAATGCGTCGCTTACAGTGGTCCTTATTGCAATATATTTGGCCTACCAAATTGTCCTTTAAAGTGTTAACACTTCAAATTGCAAATTGCAAAAATCAATGTTAATATGCCAATTAGGCCCATTGTGCAGGAAAAATGCTAGCTGCAATGTGCGATGTATTGTATTCTCGAGCCAGAGCGAGATGACAATAGCATCTAATCTTCATAACTGTAAAGCATAAAAACACATTCATACATACATACATATAGATTTTTAAGTACTACATATTATTACTACATATACATATGTATATATTAATTACCCCGTGGAGTCGAAATCCAAATCCTCCAGCAGGCAGAGAAGGCAGATGATCTCTTCATGAGCTTGTGCGCCTCTAGCTCGCTGAGATTTGGCTCCAGCGTAAATGCCTTGACCATTAATTCGAACGGCCTCTTTGGCGGTGGTCTCCAGGACTCCGTTGTTCGCCTCCCTCAGGTCGAACGGCGTCGAGCATATAGCAAACCGGCGGCTCCCAACGTCCCGGAGCACGCGGATCTCGCCGCGCACGCTCCTTTTGGCACTGCCAGGAAAGTGGCTCGTCCCGCGCCAGGCCAGCTCCAGCTTCTGGTGAGAATTGTGCTCCCGGAAAACTATATTGGGCAGGAGCTGCAGCACGTGTTTCATGTCCGCGGCGACGATATTGGTCTGCCACCACCGTATAGCCACTGTGGACTTGAAGCAAGGGGTTGTTGGCCTTCCAGGTTTTTAAAGATCCCGCTTGGCCGGCGCGGATTATCCACCTATGGAAGGTGCTTGTCCACCTGGGCGCACAGGTGCGACATGGCAAAGAATTTAAGCATAAAAAGGTCCATTATATAAAAAACACAAGTATGTATGGTAACTTAAGAACTTTGAGCAACGGCGCCAAAACTGTATGACCACCTTGGAAAAAAAGGTAAATGTCCCGTAACGCCATGCGAAAGTGGCCAGAAAGCGCCTATATTTGCGTTAAACCCAAAGGTGGTCACACTGCCTGGACCTGAAATCTGTGTGTCGCGAAATTCTCCGTTCCGCCGCATTTTCTGCGAGAAAAAAGTGATGTCCAGTGGGGCCAGGGGTGGGGGCAGGTCGCAGCGATCAGTTTTCCGTGGAAAGTGATCGAATACACCTGTTTTCCCGTCGCGTGTGTTACCCATGTGCAAAATACAGTGTTGCCAGACCGTCAAACTGAACTTTACCGGTTTGCCCCAATTTCTCGATTTTCCTAACTCGGCCCCCAGCGTGAGAACCCCCGAAAGTTGCGCCCTGCTCCCCCACATCCGCCACGACCCTGGGACACCCTCAGCGCAGGAAACGCTCCCAAGTCTCACGACCGAAATCATACCCTCAAGACGTCCAGCGTTGCCTTACTCAAGACCCTCCCCGTACCCAATTAATAGTTGGCTCCACCTAGAGCAAATTTATAAACAGTTCTATCCACCTAGAGGTAGATTGACATTTCGTTGTCTCCGTCTAGGTGGAGCCACATAAATTGTCATTTTACTACTAGGTGGTGCCACCTGACCTTCGATTTACCGCCAGGGGGAGAAATCTCAAATAGAGGGCGGAATTAAAGCTGAAATGGCACTACTGATTATTTGTATTTATAGCTATGCTCTTGTTTTGCTTGTACATAAGTAAGAGGTAATTCTGGGAAAATCATATACTGATAATTTAAACGCTTATATTATAACAATTAATGGGTTCGATGGTCATTGCTTATAAAAGTGCAATCGTAAATATGGTATTTACATTTTTTTTTGCCCTTTTTTAAAATTTTTTTTCTGAATGCACAACATTTGAAGACATTTCTGACTAAAACTTCCGAAGTTATGGCAGTTGCACATAATTTATGTACCTAAATCCGCAGGTAATAACGTCGATTTTTTTTTTTTGCTGATTATTTTTAGTTTTATAATAACAAATTTATCAAACTTTTTAAGTGTTACCAAAAATCGAAAAATTTAATAAAAAAAACTCAACGTAGTTACCTCTAGAAACATATTAACTAATAAACAATTTTTTTTTTTATTTTTTCTGATGATCCAGTAACGAGTTATGCTGTTCACCGCAAAACCTTTTTTCTTGGAGGCGCCTACGGTGTTTTGCTGCGAACGGCTCATTTATTTTTTTTTTATGAAAAATTATAAAAACGTAATTTAAATGTTGTACTTTAATATGCTTATAAAATAATTGATCTGACATTAACCGTATCGCGTGAAAAAATTCATGAAAATAGGCCTTTTTTTGGCCGAATGAACCACATATAAGTCTCAAAGACTTAAATTCCGTGAAAATAAGAATTGATAATGGTTGACTTGACTATAAAATAAAGGCAGTTTATAGTATGTAAAATTATCAGTAACTGATTTCCCAGAATCACCTTTGACTTCCCTATAAGCAAAAAAAAAGATAGAAGCTGCTTGAGCAAGCTTTAAATACAAAGGCGATGTTGGGGTACTTTTCAGTTGCAATCGAACCTTGTAAGGCAATAAAGAAAAGAGATGAGTTCCATAATCCAAGTGGGGTAAGCTTTCCCAAAGGAAAATATGCCAGCCCCGACACTTACGATTTATATATTTCCAGATGCTTTCTGATTGTTCTTGGATGCATTTTGGGGACAGGACTCGCCCAGAGTGATGCCGAATTCACGGCTAAGGCCCGTGAAATGCTCGCAGTGTACGGGAATCCCGCAGTCGACAAAAATACTCAGTACCGAAATATTCCCCAATTGGTTGAATTCTATGAGAAGTACTACGACCGCATTCATCTTACTGATCAGGAACGGCAGCGTGCTAACGAACTGCTGACGCGGTATAGGACGGAGAAAGCCAATCAAGTCTATGTGGATGGTGTGCCGCAACAGGGAGGATTCTTCAAATCCGTGTTCAAGGAGTTGGTTGTGGGCCTGGCTGTAGAGGCCTCCATTGAAGGCATAAAACGAGCGACTTCTTCCGGATGCACCATCCAAATAAGTCGAGAAATGGGAATCTGTGGGATTATTTTCCTAATCGCCATTTACAAACTTAGGTCAAAGTTCTAATAGACGTTACAGTTTATTATGTTTTATTTTCTAATTTTTGCAAATTAAAAGTAGTGGCCCTTTTCATAATAAACTCACAAAAAGATTTAGTAATTTTCTGGTATTTGGGTTGTTGATCTGAGTACGAAGTGTTAGCCAGTTATCGACTGGTTGTCGATCTGAGTACCATGATAAAAAATGTAATCTTTTGAAGTGTCCCTTCAAGTTGCCACAATGAACTTTAAATAACCAAACATTTATAAAAATTAAAATATATATTTATATATATAATATCCCTTAAGGACCCTTTCCTGTTTATGTTTTTTCGATTTTTTTAACGTTTCCCAACAGACACAGCTCATTAACAGTAAGACCGTAGCACTCTCAGTTTTTTCTCTGGAGAAGTTCTTTTTCGATCTAAGTCCTAGGCTATATGGTTAACGAATTTCACGAACGGCGCTCATGAACGCACTTGAGAGGAAAAAGAGTTGAAGTTTTGCGGTTTCTCAGATCCAGAAAACGAAAGGATCTACTGTTCTCCCTCGTAAACGATCATAACAATACAAATCAGTTTTTCAGCAACCTTATCGGGCGAGTGTACAATAGGTAGTTTAATGATCATTTGTGATACATTTGTGATAATCAAATTCTTGAGTTTGGTGACTAATATTTTAGTTTTTGCTGGTGAAGCGAGCACCTGTGGGAGGTGCTTGTCCACCCGTAACGAAATGCGAAAGTGGCCAGAAAGCGCCTATATTTGCGTTAAACGCAAAGGTGGTCACACTGCGTGGACCGGAATCTGTGTGTCGCGAAATTCTCCGTCCCGCCGCATTTTCCACGAGAAAAAAGTGTTGTCGAGGGGAGCCCGGGGTGGGGGGCAGGTCGCCGCGCTCAGTTTTCCGTGGAAAGTGATCGAATACACCTGTTTTCCCGCCGCGTGTCTGACTACAACAAAACATGTGGACGAAACATTTGCTTAATGTTGCTGGTGAAGCGAGCAACTTTGCAGGGAATGCCATGCAACATGTATACAAAATTAGATAGCAACAAAATATGTGGCAGAAACATTTATTCGATGTTGCGGTGAAGCGAACAACTTTGCAGGGGAAACTACCTTTAACATTTCACCTCCATCCCCTGCAACTTGTTCATTGATGCAACATGTTGTCATCTATTTTCACTCAAACCTGAAGGGGGCAACATGGCAGCAAAGATGCAGCAACATATTGCTGTGTTGGCATGTTGTTAACCGGCGTTTAAAGCGCATGTGAAAACAAACCGAGTCCATCGGGTTTTCGAATTCAACTCCAATTGGACGGAACAGTCGTCCTGTGCTTTGTCTGTCGTCAGGTTAATTTTATATCATGGTTGAGGATTTCGTTTGAATAGGCTCTAAAGGACTGACTGATGACGTGTCAGAAAGGAGCAGAAATGTTAATTAGCCGCATTTGTTTGCTCCTCTTTCTCGCTCCTTAATTAGTTATTCATTTTGAATTTCACTCTACGAACCAAATTTAAACTTGATCTGGCAATTACATTTTGGGAAGAATAAGATTGGGCAAGATATGTTACATCAATGCAGAAGACATAATTATTCTTTATTTAGATATCCTTGAATTTATAACTATACAACAAATTGTATAAATTATTTATTATGAAAAAGAAGTATTTTATTTTCTAAGTATTTCCTAAATGCATACATTGATTTTAATTTGTATATAACATCCTCATATAAACTTATTCTTTTTATTGCAAGTTTTTGAAATTCTGAATATTGTGTCGGAAAAAAAATGTATTAGTTAATTTATGTCATATAATTTGTCATTCATTATGAATGATTGAAACAGGGTTGTTGTAAAAGTGTAATTTTGAATTTAATTTCAATATTTCTTTTCCACAAATCTTTATATTTTACAATTCGGTATATTTATTTATTTTTTGGACCAACCAAATCTTTGTAAAACATTCTTGTCTTTGTTACAAAACTAATGTCAACTAAGTTTTCATCTCAAATCTGCATCCCTGGAGCCATCACTTTCGCTTCTTGTGTCACGTTCGACTCGGATCCTGTCCCATCTTAACGTGGCCTTCAATGTTGGAAATTATCATTTCAGCCTTCTCCCGCACCTCAACTTATATACTTTCTTCGCAGCTTCGGTTGGCGCCATTTATCTGGCGGGTCTGGATGGAAATAAGAAAAAAAACTCAGAAAACCAGAGAGAAAAAATGGGTTATGCCTTCGTTCAAGAAAAGTAAAATTAGCATAAAGTTCTTTCTTTCTTCTTCACTTTTGTGTACTTTTTTATTTGCTGTTGCCGCTTCTGCTGGGTTAACTTTTTGCAACGTTGTTTTTCTGTCTTTTTGCATTTTGTTTGTAATATCTTGGGTGTCGTTCTGCCCGTGGTTGTTGGTGTTTCTGGCCAATCAACTGGATGGCAACCGCTTAGGGCTTTAGTCGTTTTTGTTAAGTTTTTGGGACGCATTGTCTAATTTTGCATTAGAATATGTAAATATTTATGAGAAAGGTGGCAGTGAAAGTGGTATTAAAAGGGTAATTTATAAGAAAATTTTAGCTTTAATGAATAAATTTGTTTATGGCTTGACCTTTGAGTTTTGTTACTAATTACATCAATTTACAGCAGGCTAAAGTAGGAGCTAAAGCAACTCTTTCGGAAAAAAGCCCCTCCATAATAAAAGTTCTGGTTTTTAATATCGAATAAAGACGGTAAAGATATCTGTAACTTTAATGCTTTTTTAAGGGGTTTCCTTTTCATGTTAACAACTATCAGTATTATTATTACTATTTTTAAAAATATATAGTAAAAGCGGGCTGAGATTTTTTTGTTTGCCTGTTTAGAATGTTAAAAATATGATTAATATTTAAATTTCAAAAAGATAATATGTATATTTTGTCATTAAAATTAGTTTATTTTTTTTATTATAATTATTATATTTTGTAGTTTAATTCTTTAAAAAATATATTTTTTTATAATTCAACATAGCTTTAATTTATTTAGTAATTATAATCCATAGCCCGAAAGCTTCAAGCTGACAATACCACCAATTACCCACACAAGGATATATAACAAAGTTGGGCTTGCAAAATGTAAATTCAATGGGAATTGTTAATGGCAAACATACTGGCACACAATTAAAATTATTGCATGTAATTTATTAATGCCGTGCTCTGCACAATTCGTTTCAAGAAGCACGTAAAATGCATTTAGCGCCCTTATAAGGCTTTAAAATTCAAGAAGTGAGGAAATGATAAAGGCAATGATTGACTTTAATTAATCTCAAATCGCCAAAAACACGTTTTTGCTGGCTAAACTTGTGCCTTATTGTGTTATTAATTCAAACGTAGCATACATGTCCAATTTTTAATTCTTTGATATGTTAAAATGAGCAGGAACAAAGAAAATATTAAATACACGACTCAAATAGAATAATGGATCTAAAATAATAAATTAAAGATAATCAAAGTTAACTTTTTACATTTATTTAACAAAACATTGATGTAACATTTTTATAGATGGTTACAATATAATTGTCTTTATTTCTGGTAAAAATATTTCAAAAAATGATTCTAGCATTAATCACAGCCATGCTATCAATTAAGTGGTAGTATTATTACGTGTTTGTTTACATTCAAGGAATGTATTTTGAAATGCACGGGCTGGTCATCAATCAGCCCTAATTGAAACAAGGCACTTTGATATGCCACTCACGTTCAGTATCAATTAATGCCACGATGAACCTATCAATTTTTAATTGCCCACACACAACAGATTGGCAAACAAACATTTCGATGAAATGGTAAATGAATTAATTATTAATTGCTAATTTTTGTTGTCCCTTATTTTGACTGTTATACAATTCTTGAGCTCCACTCCAAGCTCATGTCGAAATGGATTCTTTGCCAACTTCCTTTTGGACAAGGGGCAGTTGAAGGACTCAGGGCAATTGCCAAGTTAAATTCTAAACAAATTTAATTGAAAAACTTTTCCGTTCCTTCCACTGGCAACGGTCAGATTTTTGCCCAGGACAAGAGGTTCACTGGGATCCTGGAGCACTACGAAAAGGATACAAGTCCATATGCAATTGTTGGTCCTTGCAGTTGCAATTGCAGTTTCTGTTATTATTATTATTCCTCTTTTTGCATTTTGGCTTGCTTGTCGCGATTCACTTGAGACCCGTTTAGCATTTAGCTCTGGCTTCTCGAGCTGTTGGCTCTCCTGGCGACTTTTTTCTTATTTAATTATTTGCTTGCTGTTTTGGCCAAAAGTCACCAACGGGCTGCGAAAAGTTTCTGGGTTGTTGCCGAAATTGAAATTATAACTTTTTACTATTTTCTGTTGCTTTGTGGCTCACACTGGACTGCAGTTGGAGTTTTGGTTTTAGTTTCTCTGGAGTAGGAAGTGCTTTGGGGCACACCATTGGGTCCAGCTTTTAAAATGGTAGTTTAAGCATGTACTCTTGAAATTGCGCTTGAAATTAAATGTCAAGCGGATAAAACATTTTAATTTACTGTATGTACTGCCAAGATTTGAAGAAAACCAAAATCAAATATCAATATAAAATTTAAATCAAGATTTATTAAATATATCAGCACGAAATTTACAAACTTCCTAACTTTACAAACACCAAAGTTATGGCATTTTCGATCAATCAGTTATATGGCAGCTATAAGATATAGTCGGCCGATCCTTATGAAATTTGGTAAGTCGGATTGATTGGCCAAATATAAAACCCATAGAAAATTCCAACTTCCTAACTTTACAAACACCAAAGTTATGGTATTTCCGATCAATCAGTTATATGGCAGCTATAGGATATAGTCGGCCGATCCCGGCCGTTCCGACATATATACTGCGTGCAAAGGAAAGAAGGGTGTGTGCAAAGTTTCAATTCGATAGCTTTAAAACTGAGAGACTAGTTTGCGTAGAAACAGACAGACGGACAGACAGACGGACAGACGGACATGGCTATATCAACTCAGGAGGTGATCCTGATCAAGAATATATATACTTTATAGGGTCGGGGATGTCTCCTTCACTGCGTTGCACACTTTTGACCAAAATTATAATACACTCTGCAAGGGTATAATTAATGCCATGTTAAAAAACCAAAAAAGTAACCGACAAAGATCATAGTGAAATGAATTGAAGCATATAACAAGCACGGTCATTTAGTTTTGGTAAATAAATTTCAATATTTTTAAGCTAATTTTAATTACTATTGATTTCTATCGCCAACATTTTATTGTTTATGGTACAAAGATTTTATTACTCATTGACATCGAAACTGTGCATCGTTCTTGTCGAAAATGGGTTCACGGATTCGTTTTGTTGAACTTTTAATTCTGATATATTCCATTAAACAAGTAAGAGCAACTGTTAAATAATCGAAAAATACTTACAACTAACTCAAGCGACGTTCTAGATTGCATCAAAAGTTGAGTTTACCAACGTGAAGTGCATTCCGTTGGACCCTGAGTTCGCCACCTTTGACTATTGCTTTCTCAAATCAGTTAATCGTACATATAAATACCTTTCCCTAAGAGTGAAGTTGCTACAAAGGCCCGTTACCAAGATTAAGGTTTGTTTATAGGTAAAACCAAATTAATTATACTTATTTCCACTAAACTGTTGTCGTTTTAGGTTAACGTATCATTTCTGAGGCGATATAGTGGCTACAAACCCTTCATGTATAACGTTACGGTTGATGCCTGCAGATTTATTGAAAACCCCAAAGCTAATCCAATTGCTTATTATATTTATAACTTTTTCGCACACCACTCCAATATGAATCATTCCTGTCCCATTGATGTGAGTAGGAATTCTTACACCTTTAAACCGGATACAGTTCTGATTTGCTTGCAGGAAGATGTTGTTGTGGAAAAACTTCCTACCACTGCCATCAATAAGCAGGTAACTGATGTCTTGCCAGTTCCTCGAGGTGACTACCTTTTTCAGTCAAACTGGCTTGCCTACGATATTAACCGTGCTACTGTGAGCGTTTATGTAACAATATCTTAAATGGTTCAAATATATGTACATATTTATTGAAATATATATATTTTTGTTTAAAAATTTAAAATTTATGTTTTAGGTTCGTTTTCCATTTCTAATTGACAAACGGTTAACACAAAAATTTCAACGAGAAATGAAGCAAAATACCATATAGTTTTAATTAGAGTTTTTAGTTTTTATAGTTTTTATTTTGAGCTGGTATTCAGTATTCTTGTATTCTGAATATCTCCAATAAATAAACTATGAGTTATTAACTAATTTATTAAACCAATTTAAAAGTTATTTGAATACCTATACAAACCCAACTAAATATATCTGACGTAGATAAATATTATTTTATAATAATGATTCTGTTGAAACATCGGTAAAAAATGAAGATATAAATAAAATATAGTTTGTAGTTTGAACTCAATTTGACATTAAATTATTTACATACGACTGAACTTAAACGTCGTATTATTTAACGTTGGGATATTATTATTTTTAAATACTCTAACAGAGGTATAGTAATTTCAGTCAACAGTTTTTAAAGCTTACATATTATTAGAATTATGGTTTAATAAAAATCGCACATCTATATCATATTGCTGCCATGCAAACGATCGGCAAATGTATATTAAAACCTTGGAAAATGTGTTTTTCTTTAAAGAAACTTATAAGCCTGTTGTCATTTTGAAAAACAAAGTTACTGTGTTATTCAATCATTAAGAAATGGAAAGGAGTGTAAACAATTTTCAAGCTTCTTTCCTTCTTGATATATATAATTTAAATTTAAGTTTTAATGCTGCCTTTCAGTAGTACATAGCTTCCATTCCGCCTTTCTATATGTGAATAATTTTTTAAAATCTGTACTGCTACAATCAATGCAAGTTAAATAATTTTCTTACCCTTCAGGTTTATTCGCCTTTTCCTTTAGTAACTTTTCCACACAGTTATTTTCAATCAAAAGACACTTGCAGTCAGACAGATAGTTCGGATATGGAAGTGGAGATGAATCGTGGCTATTCAGCTATGAAATGCCCTTAAGTTGCCTCGGCTGTCTAAGTGTGCAGCAGTGCTTAAGATATATCTGCATTACCCGTATGAATGTATGTATTTCTCGGTCTTAAGCTGCTATAGATTTATATGAGAACTCAAGGATCGACTGGCATGAGATGCTGCTTCCTCTTACAACTTGCACACCCAAATGTCCCTGTGTGCGTGTGTATCTGTGTGAGCATGACATTCGGCTGCAAGTGGCTTCTTCTGTGGAGAAACGAGCCAACTTGCATACGCATTGCACACAAGCTGCCGACGACCAAGTTATGTCCTTGCTGAAGTACATTCGCATTGAAAATCACAGAGGATCCTGGACGTAAGCAGAATTCATGAAATTACTTTCTTACTATATTTTAAATAGGTCTATTTATAAAAATTATTTTGATTAATATTAACAATTGTGTAAAAATAAGTTGTTTAAAATCCATTAACAATTGTCTTGCCTAAAAAACGTGATTTTAATAATTGGGTTTTTTGCTTAAAAATATCTTATATTTTTAATAATAAGGTCTTAAATTTTTTTTGTGTTAATAAATAAGATAGAAATCTTTTCAATTTCAAGTCAAAATATTTATTAACAAAAAACCTTTTTTATATGATTATTAGTTAATTGATTATATGGCTAACATTAACTTAATAAGCGACGAATCCGTTATAAGTGAAGTTGACTGGTAATTCATATTCACTTATAAACGTATGTGCGCATTTTGTTGCTCTGACAGAGAGTATTTTATAGTTAGTAGTTGACTACGCCTATAAATTATATATATTCTTACTTACGTTCATCAGCCAATTCACATGGCTGCCATAGAAAAGATTGCAAAATTAATGGGATAGTTATAGATAGATATAATACAAATTGAGAAATATAGAGGTATTTTAGAATCATATATTATTGTTGCTACAAGGGTATTTCAAATTCGGCTGCCGAAGTTGGGACCTTTCATGTTTGGATTTATTTTAATTTCCCCTTGTGAGTGTTGACTTGAATTTCTGCCATCCTGCTGTCAGCAAACACACAGACAGAAGGACGAAGGACCTGCTGATATGTAGTGTGTTTCATGGGTCTCAGTTTCCAAAGAGTGTGGAAAATGCACATCGGTTTCGGTTTCTGTCTGCATCTGCCTCGTTTTTCCTCTTCCTTTCATTTTCGCATCCTTTGGTTTTTTATTGGACCTGTGCCCCACTTTGTCTTCGACTTGCAACTTTTTTGTTTTTCCTGAAGATTCGTCTTTTGCTCGATGCAGCAGCTCCTGGTGTCCTTTTTACATTTTGTCGCATTGAGCGGAAGTGTGCGTCACTTCAGAACTACTTTTACTTTTGTGTATACGCAATACTGTAGGCTGCAGCTGAGTTTTTCTTTAAGCTGGCATTCTTCTCATTTGGTAGAACCTTGAGAACATGTTTTGTCTATCATCAATATATTTTACTAAGCATGTCCTTGCCACTCGGATGTTTATGGTTTCTATTCACATGTATGAATTGCATTCCAGAGGAATTCACATTTTTTTTCACAGATGACGACAAGTTCATAAACATTTTGTTGTTCAAAGTCAATTTTGCATAAGTTTCTGAAATGGAAAATGTAAGAAAACCTTACAAAAGATAATGGTATGGTATGTCGAAAGTTTTTCTTTTCCTTTTTCTAGCTTAAAAAGGCTTAGAACTTTTAATTATGATACTTTTCTTGATTATTTTCATGAAAAAAAGGAAATATACACCGAAGCACTCTAGTTTCAAAAGCCCTCTACTCCAAATATTAATTAATTGGGTAAAAGATAAATATAAATAAGAAACAGTAATATTTTATAAATTCATTGGAAATATTTTTGTTACAAAAGTATAAATGAATTGAATTAATTGGATATGCGTTTACTTATATATCAAGAAAATGTCAAAGGGCAAACTTGTCGTTAAGTAAAAGGAAGGTAGAAGACAATTCAGGTGTGTCCCTGGCGCGACATTACTAACACGTGACTGCAAAATTTTAATTGCCCATTTCTAATTGGACCAGGCAGTTCTCAAACGTCTAATGGCTTGGGCTTGCCTCAGTCATGATGCCCATAATAATAGCACAAATGATGATGCCCCCATAACAATAAAGTTGTCGAGACAGAAATATTTATATTCTACAAAGTACAAAAAAGTTGACTGAAATCCAAAGGGAAGTCATAAAAAGTTTAACACCGCGCAAACGCCATGTTGCCTATTCTTTATTTTCGAAATTTTCTTTTATGCATGAAGCTTTTCTCTCTTTTTGCTTGTTGGTTCTTTGTGAAGTCCATAATAAAGTTGTAAAAGCCAACTATTTATTGCACGAAATGTTTATCAAAGTGAAGTGAATATTTTGTTTGTGATTTGGTTTAATGGCTGGTTTCCATGATTATTTATCTTTTTATTCATTTTGTTTTGGCTTTTTTAAAAAGTTGTGATTAATATTAATTTTACTTAACAGAGGTAGATACCACAAGAAATGGCCTTTCCATCTTTTTTCTAAAGTGGATAGCCACGGATCTGGGCTATAAATCGAACTAATAGTGCAAAAGTTTCTATCTTTTTGCTTTGGTTAGTAATTTTATACCTGAACGTAAGTAGAACATTGTGGAGGTGAAAGTGAGTTTTAACATAAACCACTCTTAATGGGCCAAAAGCACAAAATGCAACTGGTAAGTGAAAGAAGTGACCACTCGTAAAAATCGCGTGACGAATGCCTCTGGTTTTAGGTCCCCTGGCATAGATTTTAATGCCGGAAAAGTCAAATGACCCACCACGATAGTCAACATACTACAGGCGACCGACAAAACACTTTACTTAACCCGTTCCAAAGTTGCCACCAGACACGGATTTAATCTGCCAAGGTTTAAGTGCTCAATAAAAAAAGGTGGTGGTTTAACAGGGAAAAAAGACAAATTTAGTGTTCGTTAGTGGGCTGTTATCTTGTAGGCTTTTTATCTTGTAATACATATTTGTTTAAAGTGCTTTTATAAGGAGGTGTAAATATTAAATTCTATTAAGAAAATTATGTTGATTCAGGAAAAGAAGAAACACTTCTCCACACACTTTAAATTTGAATTTATAATTCTAACAATTGGTATTGGCCGTTAAAAATATATATCTAAATTTGTATACTTATTGATTTATTTATGTAGAAAAAAATTGTTGCACTAAAATATTATATTTGCGACCTTCTGACCTCAAACCAACTGGTCAACGAATGTTTTGTACTTTTGATTTCCCCTTGCCCTCTTCCTTGACCTTTATGGCATAGATTGTTAACTAGTTAACAATGGTGACCCATGTGGAACCCCAAAACACCAAACAAAACCGAAACTATGTTGGCCTCTTTGCCAGCCTCATGGTTTTTAATTAAATTACTTGCTCCCTTTTTGGTTGTGCCACTTTGGGCCTGGCCTAGCTTGGACTTTGTGGTAAAATTTACTATGTAATTTCCGCACAGGAGACACGGCGAAGATGTGCTGCAGCGCACTTGAATTTTAATAGAAACTGCTGCAGCAGCCGGGATATTTTTGGATTGAAAGGGGCGACAGGCGAAGACGCCAAATTATGTGTGTTGCCATTATGTCATAACTCACGGCTGCGCCTGCAGGTATGCAACGCTGTGCAGTTTTCCGCCTTGAAAAAATAATAAGCCAAAAGATTGGGCAAATAAAAGAGCTTGGTATATATTAACACCCAATACCCAATACCAAGCATGAATAAAAAAAGCCAAAATATTAAATAAATAATTAAAATTCACTTTAATATACAATATAATGTAATATATATACAATATAATATATATACAATATGAATACATCAGCATTTAAATTTACAGGGCTTGCAATAAATATTTATCTTAGCAATCGCAACTAAGCACCTTCAATTTTAAATTCTGTACCATCAGTTATTTAATTTTAAAAGCAAAATACATTAAAAAACATTATAATTTACAGGAATTTCAATAAATA